TGAAGAGATTAGGGTGCAGTATAATAAATTGTTCACTATATGCAAGTCTCAAGTAAATCAGCTGTCACATCTCAAACAATTGTGTGATAATGCTCTAAGAATATCTTTGTATCTGCACTAGATGCTTTATCTTTGACAAGGGACAGCCAAAAGTCAGTATTGTACACTGGTTTAACACTCAAAGTTTTCCAGATGATCTGTACAATTTATAAACCAATGGTCACCAAACCATTTACTACGTCCTGCACCATAGAAGATGAATTGCTCTATACTTTGGTTAAATTACGACTTGGTCTAGTTAACAAGGACATAGCATACAGAGCTAATATTGATAAAGGTTTGTTTTCTAAAATTTTCCACCGATGGCTAAACATTCTTTACAGAGAGTTAAAACAGTTGATTATATGGCCTGATTCTGAAACACTGCGTAAAAACCTACTGAAATGTTTCAATGAAAAATATTCTCGTGTGGTGTGCATAATAGACTGTTTTGAAGTGTTTATTCAAAGACCAAGGTCCTTTGATGCTAGAGCAGCTACTTATAGTAACAACGAAAAGCACACTACCATAAAAGTTCTAATTGGAATATTGCCAACAGGTGCCATTTCTTTTATCAGTAAAGCCTGGGGAGGAAGAGCATTGGATAAGATAATTACACAACAAAGTGGATTCCTGACCAAAATCAATTATGGAGATGTTATAATGGCCGACAGAGGCTTCAATGTCTTTGATGACATTGCAACTATTGGTGCACATTTGGTAAATCCAGCCTTTACCAAAGGCAAGAAACAACTTTCTGGTATGGAAGTGGAAACATCTGGACAGATGTCTTGAGTGCGAATTCATGTTGAGAGGGTCATTGGGCAGCTGAAGAAAAGCACCAGATACTGCAAACTACACTACCTATTAACCTTATTAAATGTAAATCTGACAAAGACATTACAACTATTGATAAAATTGTTACTGTATGTGTTGCTTTAGTAAATTCATGTAAATCAGTTGTGTGAATACTTGATTCAGAAAAATTCATTACTGGATAATAATCAAAGAAGCAAAATTCATAACAATTAATTATACTTGTAAGTGAACCACTTTAACAATTAAGTGCGACAATTTGGACAGTACCAATTTCCCTTTGGCTTTCTGGAAACTCCAACGCATTTGTAGTGGAACCATTCAATGTCACACTTAGGACCATCGCAAGCAATCATCTTTCCGTCCTTATGTTCCTTGCAAAAACAATATTTATTGTCCTCATTTTTCTCATTTGTAGCACTCTCTGACACGATTACTCCTTCCTTAAATTTATGAGTTAATAGCTCTGGTAACAAGTACTTACAAAAAAAAGATCTTGATTTGTTGACAATTTTTTCACAGTAACTCTCATCTCTTGCTATTATTTCCATGAATATGCCATGTGGGGTCCAACAGACAAAGTCACAAGTTTCTCTATCAGCAACAAGAAGCTGGCACTGAATTTGGGTGTAGTAGCTATGTTTTTGAGAAAGCATTACAACTCCTTGTGATCCTCTAACCAGAAAATACCCTTTCTTTCATAAAGCTTCCTCACTTGTTGGCGATGTGTGTCTAACAGTATAAGGACATTTGATCTCAACCAGATGCATCTCACAACAATTACACTATGAAATACCGTCAGGACTAGCTGCAATAAAAGGATGAAGAGGATTAATAATGAGTCCCAAAAGAGCAGTTTTGAAGTTACAATGCTTCATTTTTTGTTCCACTTCATAACAATCTCTAGCCTGAGTCATTCTCTCTTCCCCATGTTAGTGCTGGCAGGTTTGCATTAACCATAGTGTATTGCATAGCTGTTTGAACAATCGATTTAGGATACTTTCTCCCAGTTTATCTTACAACGGAGTGCATATTTGATGCAGTTATCCTTCCCAGTCTGTGCTTAAACCAAAGCTGTGATGATGATTGATGAACCGTCAATGCAGCCAAATTACTAACTTGAATATGCGAGACAGCTAATCCACTGAAAGTATTATCAGATACCTCTTGTGTGTATTCATCAGACCAGTTTACACTTTCTGAAACAAAAAGATCTGACAATATAGGAGGGAGGTCTTATGTGGAATCAGGTCTGGGTACAGAGAGGGAGAGAGAGGAGGGGGAAGGAGAGAGGGAGGAAGAGGGGTGAGAGGTAGATGGCTCAGGAGCAGTTGAAGCCATGTCATGTACATGTATGTCTTCTGCTCTTTACATGTATAAGGTCAAACGACTCGTTGCTTAGACTGTTGCACTCCTGATTAACAGATGACTCAACATTATGAATGTTTTGTCGACATAATTCTTGTTGTGGCTCCAATGATTCATCGTTAACACCATCAGCAGGCTCACCAGACCCATTTCCAACTGTACATTGTTGTTCAGCTTCATTGTTAACAGCAGAGCCTTGAGATAAATCACAAGGCCAATAATTAGAAGTAGGAATTACAGTCAAAATAGCAGCTGATGAAGTAACTGCATAGATTGCACTTAGTAATTTCTTTCTTGGAATGCGAGGAGTAAAATCAGTTGGAGATGATTCTTCTCTTTGATTGTCCTTAGTACATTCAAACTTCCTCCTCTTACTTGGTGCCGTAAAATTGACCCTGCTAATTGTGGTGGGACAAACCTTGTAAAAATAATATGTACATGTATAGTGGTTTCAATATAATCACAATCCTACTTTATCAGAATATGCTTGGTTCCACATACATGGCAGTGATGTACATGTCTTAAATAGTTGCAACCTGGCACTAGCCTCGATCTTGAATAGTATGGCACCTACATGTGAACATACCTCGCCACAGCTTAAGATTACAACTGAGATCAATTTGTATTGAAACACCTTTCACTTACCCAGCCATACAGGTGCAGTGTCCAGTTAGTACACTTCCATCACTATTCTTAATAGCAACCCAAGCTAAATGTGGATTATCATT